ACCCAGCATCCCCTTGGCCTCTAGCTTCATGAAGATAGAAGTTTGTCCCTCCATGTATTTGTAAAGCATGGGGTAGATGACAAGTCTTACCCACCCCTTCTCAGAACAGGGCACTGACGCTTCAGACTCAGCAAAGATCAATCTATGTGCAAAGAATTCTGTTCACAACAATCTTGGGGAAATGTAGATCTCACCCCATCATCCTTCCCTAGATCTTCCCTCCTAGCTCATCTGTTGCTCCCAGACACCTCATATTCTTGCCTTTCTTTCAGAGGAGATCATCGGGGGCCATGAGGTCAAGCCCCACTCCCGCCCCTACATGGCATTTATTGCATTTGTGGATGTTGATGGCAGAAGTCACAGCTGCGGAGGCTTCCTGGTAAAAGACAACTTCGTGCTGACAGCTGCTCACTGCAGGGGAAGGTGAGGAGAAGGAGCTAGGCCATGTTTTCTGAGACACCAAGACAAGTTTCTCCTTTCTGCTTGTAGCTGTTCCTTTTAGAACTCACTAGAGGACAGGGCTGTGGCAATGGAAGTCTGTCATCAGGGAAACTTTGAGGTCAGAGGGTGAGAGTCCAGAGGCAGCAGCACAGTTGGGTTGAGAGCAACTACACTGGTCAGACTACAGCAGTGTTTGAGATTGAAAGTACACATTAAGAGTCAATGCATCCCTCACAGTCCTTATTTCCTTTTTCATTTTCTTTGTCCTTCTGCTCCTCATTTGGACCTTGGGGGTCTCAGTCTGGTGCTCCAATGTGGGTCTCCGTCTGTATCACCCTCCATGGCCAGATGAAGGATCTATGGTGATAAGCAAAATATTCATCAGTATGGTTATGGGCCAAGGCCGGTTCAGGCACCCTCTCCTCTGTCCAGAGAACAATCTGGGGATCTCTCCTTGGACCTGGGATCCCATATATAATCAAGTCTCCTGTAAACCCTAAAATGACTCCCTTAGTTGAAATATATTCTTCTCGGATCCCATATTCATCCTTCCTCCCTTCCCCCAATCCCGGTCCACCGAGCTTTCCCCATTCCTCCCCTACTCCCTTCTCTCTAACCATCTCCCCTTCCAACAACTCCCCCCATGCACCCGACGTTACCTGGAACTCTTGTCTATTTCCTACCTCCTGGCGCCCACTGATACAAGGGGACGGATCTAATGAGAGCTTACCAAGGCCATTTGGACTGGGACTGAACGAGGACGTGATCCAACTAGATTCTCTGAATGTGGCCGGATTCTCTGAATGTGGCTGGCCCGGAGTCTTTCTGAAAAGCCATTGACAATGACACTGGGACTTGTTTCCTCTGCATATACTGGATTTTGGGGATCCAGTCTGTTTGGATACTCACCTTCCTGGACCTGGAGGGAGGGGGGAGGAACTTGAACTTCCCACAGGGCAGGAAACCCTGACTGCCCTTAGAGATGAAGAGGGAGGAGGAGAGGGAGTGGGGGGAGTGGGAAGGTGTTGGGAGGAAGGGTGGAAATGGAAACTTTTATAATTTAATAAAATTACTTTCTAAAAAAAAAAAAGAGTCAATGCAAACATGCAAACTTTGGAGTATTGCCTGGAAACAAGAGCAAGTTCCTAGGAGTATAGAGTTCTTGTAAAGGAAAGAGCAGACGGACACACACTGTGGCCATTCTGTCTCCTCAGGTCATCTCAGCTAGAGCCCCACCCTGCTCACCCAGCCTCTAACAGTTCCTGGACTGCGTCCTCTCTCACTCCACATCTCCCATCTGCACTCTGCTCTCTACAGCTCAATGAAAGTCACTCTAGGAGCCCACAACATCAGCATCCGAGAGGAGACCCAGCAGATCATCCCTGTGGCTAAAGCCATCCCACATCCATACTACAATCTCAAGGACTACTCCAGTGACATCATGCTCTTAAAGGTGAGAACTGCCCCCACCGCTCCCTAAGATCTGCTTTGCAGGGATTGCCCCCCCTCCTACTCTCATTCTCTTCCTTCTCTTCCTGCCATCCTGACTTTCAAAGGGTCCCAGGCTACCATTTTCCTGGCTGAGCTGCTCTCTCCTGCTTCTTCCCCCATAGCTGGAGAGGAAAGCAAACAGGACTAAAGCTGTGAGGCCTCTCAGGCTGCCCAGGAGGAATGTCTATGTGAAGCCAGGGGACGTTTGCTATGTGGCTGGTTGGGGACAGTTGGCTCCGAAGGGAAAACTCCCAAATACATTGCAAGTGGTAGAGCTGACCATCCAGAAGGACCAGGAGTGTGAGTCCCGCTTTTCACGTCGTTACAACAAAGCCACTGCAATCTGTGTGGGGGACCCAAAGATCAAGCGAGCTACCTTTAACGTAAGTTGGATTGTCCTTCCCTCTGGGCTCCATGGGAGGAGAAAAGCAATCTGGAACCTAGGGATCAAACATCAAGGGACTCTTTCCCCCATTGGCCATTATCTTATTCCCTGGGAACAGCAGGAACAGTAACTAACTCGAGCCTCAGAGCTGACAAGGAGCCTTGGTGAAGGCAGCTGGCATAAAGCGGGATTTGCACAGCCCTCCTGACTCCCAGGTCCAGGACTGTGTGTTGTCGTCATGAGCACGGGTCTCCTCAGAGCAGGCACCCACATTTGTCAATGTTCTGGTCCTCCATGCTTACATCAGGCCCTCTCCCCTTTCCCCATGTTCTTAAATAATGGCCTGGAACTGAGGGTCCCACACACCTGCATATTGAGTGGATCACAGTGGAGAAAGGGCAGAGGCTGGTCTCAGGAGGGAGGTAAAGTCCTAACCCTGTCCACTATCAGAATTGGAACCCCAGGGACCAGAGGCCTGCCCTCCATTTCTCTCAACACACAATTCATACACCTTGAAGAGGAGCCTTGACATGAGAGGAAGGCTGGGACTAGGCTGAACAACAGCTCAGTCCTCTCTGACCCTTCTCCATTCACAGGGGGATTCTGGAGGGCCTCTCGTGTGTAAAAACAGAGCAGCAGGCATTGTGTCCTTGGCCTATTCTGATGGCTCAGCACCAGGAACCTTCACCAGAGTGTCAAGTTTCCTATCCTGGATACAGAAAATGATAAAACATTGCTAACTTGAGAACAAACCAGACCCATCGCTGACTCACCATCTTCCCTACAGCTGAGTCCAGGAGTGTCCTAGGAAAAGAAACCAGCAAATCAATAAACCCAACTTTGCAGAATTAAAAGCCTGGCTTCCTGCTCATTCCCAGGGACCAGCTCTTTACTTCACAGACCAATGCCCTACTTTTCTCCTCTGCTCTCTCCAGCACCATCCACATCCTCGCCCCAAATCTCAGGCATGGCCATTGCACACCTTGTTTGTACTTGTATCACTGTGCAGTGCCCGTTCTTCCGACAGGCCCAAATTGAACATGGGTGTCTCTTTTTGTGGTGCTCCGGGTGAACATTTGTCCTCCTGTGTGTCATGTGGAAGAAAGGAGAGGCAAAGCACCATTGGTCCTTGAGATATGAAGGCAGAGCTGATGTCACTGTCGATGGTCCTTCTAGGGCAGGGTATCTCTGTCCCACATCTTCATCCTTAAAGTGACAGCAATTTCAGAAAGGTCTGTTTTACATCTAGAATTCATTTTGATATCCTCTTCTGGAAACAGGGTCAAGCTTCCACCATCGCCTTCTTTTTTTTAATTTTTAAAATTTTTTTATATTTTTTTATTAATTTATAATAATTTCTACTTCTGCCCCTCCTCCCAATACCCTCCAATTCCCCCCCCCCCCCCCTCTTCTCCTCCCTCTCCAGCTCTAAGAGCAGTCAGGGTTTCCTGCCCTGTGGGAAATTCAAGTTCCTCACCCCTCCCTCCAGGTCTAGGAAGGTGAGCATCCAAACAGACTAGGATCCCCAAAAGCCAGTACATGCAGAGGAAACAAGTCTCAGTGCCATTATCAATGGCTTCTCAGACAGTCCCCATGTAAGCCACATTCAGAGAATCCGGTTTGATCACATGCTCGTTAAGTCTCAGTCCAGCTGGCCTTGGTGAGCTCTCATTAGATCAGTCCCCTTGTATCAGTAGTGAATGCACCCCTCGCAGTCCTGACTTCCTTGTTCATGTTCTCCCTCCTTCTGCTCCTCATTTGGACCTTGGGGGCTCAGTCCAGCGCTCCAATGTGGGTCTCTGTCTCAGTCTCCATCCATCGTCGGATGAAGGTTCACTCTGATCCTGACTTCCTTGTTCATGTTCTCTCTCCTTCCCTTCTTTTTTATGCCTACTCCTGTGACTTATCAGCTTCTATGCTTTCAAGTCCATGCTAATCTTTACATGTCCCTACTTCTTATCCCCCTACCTAGGACACCCAGAACCACATATGATTCCATTCATTAGAGTGTCAGACCTGTGGTGTCAGCCTAAATCATGACCCGGCAGGGAGGGGGCTCACAAATGTGCAGGCCAGAAGTGTCATCATAAAGGTTCCATGCAGGCCTGGGCTTTCAATGTCTGTCTAAAACCTTTTACCTCACCTCCCACATGCTGAGATCTAGGGAAGCTCTTCGCAGTCAGCTCACTCACACCCCCAACCTCCCCATGTGCTCAGTATCCATAGCAGCAGGGTCTCTCAGCAGCATGAGCTCCTCTGAGCTTGTTCATCTCAATCATTGCCGGTCTAGGCTATGGTGCCCTGCTTGTCATTTGGTCACTGTCAGTCTTTGACATCCCAAGGCAAAAGAACTAAAAGTCTCTACTTTTCCATCAGTCAACACTGAAGTATATGAGGTTTGAAAATGGCCTTAGGCAGTGTGTTTCTATGGGAAATTATTCAGAAAATCAGTCTCCACAACACCAGGAGGAGGCAGCAAGTAGATAATAGCTACAACTAAGATGGCCTCTTTGTATTTATTTGAAAGGTAGCAAATAACAGAATCAGTATGCAGATATAAATGCTATGAGATGCACATATACAGAAACATAATTCAGAAACATGATTAATTATGAATTAGGAGGCCGTGAAATAAAGAGAAATGAAAAAATGGTGTGGAGTAGTCCCTATAATGTTTTGACATTCTTGGTTACCGCTGCATCCATAAATGCTAAGTCTACCTGGGCTTCTCATTGTTAGGAAGTTCTTGGCATGAGACTGTAGCAAGAATGTGTGAATTTTTCTTAAATAAAAGTCTCCCTAAGTTGAATTCACATTGTTTAAAAAAAAAAAAAACCTCAAGCTACTAGGCATGAATGCTCTTGCCTTAATCCAGCACTGGGGAGGCAGAGGCAGGCAGATGTCTGACTCCAAGGCTATGAGAGAGATTCTGTCTCAAACAAACAAATAAGAATTCTTAAATTAACTTAAATCATCATAAAATCTCAAGCAGCCTTGGCTGAGGGTCTTGTCCTGTCAGACATTTAACAGATAACATGACTGGTAGATAATGCTTAATGTCTCCTTATCCCAAACAGACGGAGCGTCACATTCTTCTGGGAGATGGAATAAAATCTCCATTTGTATTAGGTAACTTTCAAAGACAAGCTTTTATTTAGGAAGAAATGTAGGTGGCACACATCATCTGACAAGAATGGGAAAATAAACCCTGCCGTGGAGACAGACCAAGGACCCAACTCCTTGGAGACAACAAATACAAAGAAGAATGCAGAATCAAAGAAAAATGCATGTTAAATATCATATGGTCACATACGTATTCAGCTTAGATGTCATATTTACATTGAGGAGAGGGTTCTATGGCTTAAAATAACTTTGAAAACCATTATTTTTATGCTTTAGAGAGGAGATAAAATAGTTTTCTCTCAAAAAGTAGTAACTAACCCGACAAACAGCAACAAACATGTTGGGATGGAGGCAAATTTGAGCCTAGGATTCCTTGAGCAAATGACTTCAATAATATCTAATCTGTGGATATCTTTCTGATATTCCACACAAAAGAGCCCATGCTTAGTCTCCCTCTGGAGAGAAACTCCTGGGCTCCTCCCACTACTGCATGGTGAAGGTGTTCAAAGCCACCTTGCTTTGCTCCCTTGAGTACATATTAGAGTGGATTCAGAGGCTGTAAATGTCTTAAATACAAACTGCTTCAGATTCCTCTAGTCTGTGTATGTGTCTCCCAGTTCTCAGCATTTGCAGAGAGTTTATTCAGCTCCCCTAACATCTGTACTGATGTTTTACACCTGGGAAAGGAAATGCTTCAACTCATCAAGACCCAGCTTCTCTGCTGCCCCAGGCCATCGCATCTAGCAAGCCAGAGAATGTAAGACTCCCCTGAAGGACCCAGAATAGACACAAGAACACTGGTCTTCTCAATTGTGCTGGGGAATACATACCGTTATACCTGCATTGTTCTGTCCAACGCCATACTTCTGCAAGCACCATTTTCTGTGGACTTGGAGAATATAGAGTTTCTGTTTCATATCTGTGTCCCATGCCACCTTCCTTTGGTGGTTTTTAGCGACTGTGTCCCTGTTAGGCTCATGTATTTGAGCACTTGGTTCCCAGTTGATG